AAATATACTGTGCAATATACTTGTTTATGTTACTAAGCATATAATTCAGGTACTATTTGCTAAAATATAATACAGTCAAAACTCACTGAGTCACAAAACAATTTCCAACTTAAGTAAAGAAAGGTCTTCTTTGGAAGGCTCTTCAATATATTTCAACCCAACAAATAATTCTGGATATTTTATATTTGTAATACACTTTGTAATTGTAGAGAATATGAAAAGAGGGAGGGAGAGTGCAAAGAAAAATAAAACTCATAGTCCTTACTTTTTGTTAAGTTCATAATCATGCAGAAAATGCAACTATGTGCACCTATATGGTAGAAAACATAGACTTTTATAGAAATCATTAAACAAGAATATATAAGTATGTGAAACATAGAAAAGGAGTGTGGCAGATCCCAACTAGAATGGGGAGTGGAAACTACACGAAGGTCTCCCTGAGTTGAGTAAGTAAAAACTGGATTGGTTTTAAAGGTTCAAAAGAACCTTGGCAGAAGGGAGATAAGGCATTGTAGGTAGAGCATGGAGCATGTTAATAAAGGCATAAAAGTGCTTGGCACATCTAGAATAACAGCTTCTAGTGTGATACAGCTATTTGGTGTCTATGTAAAGGGGAATACGTAAAATGAAGCCAGAAAGTGAAACAATTCTGTTCTCAAACAATTATATTTGATGTCACGTACACCTGGAAATCTGCCACCATGTTCATTCATTAGTATCTTCCTTCCTTCCTTCAGATTTTATTTATTTATTTTTAGAGAGAGGGAATGGGAGGGAGAAAGAAAAACATCAGTAAAAGAGAGAGACATCAATCAGTTGCTTTTCATACGCTCCCTGACTGGGGAACAAAACCTGCAACCTAAGCATGTGCCCTGACCAGGAATCCAACCAGTGACCTTCTGCTATGCAACTAGCTGAGTTACATCAGTCAGAGCATGCTATGTTTCTATCCCTTCTTGCCCCCCTCACTACACTGTCAGTAAATATATTTTTTTAGATAATCCTGTGTGTGTGTGTGTGTGTGTGTGTGTGTATTCAGGTTCAAAGACTCAATTAACTATCTGGAGGAAGAATTTGCCCACTGGTACTGTACTTGCAATTTAAGTCATTTGATTTTGGATTTTCTTTAAAGGAAAGATCAATTATTTTCTTATAATTTTAAAAAATATTTTATTTATTTATTTTTAGTGAGAGGAGAAGGAGGGAGAAATAGAAGAGAGTGAAATATCAGTGTGTGGTTTACTCTCGCATGCCCCGCACTGAGGACCTGGTCTGTATCCCAGGCACATGCCCTGACTGGAAATCAAACCAACAGCATTTTGGTTCTCAGGCCAGCACTCAATTCACTGAGCCACACCAGCCAAGACTCTATAAAATTTTTATGTGAACTGTCAACCAGGATTTAAATTAAAATAGAAAGGGGAATTAAAAGAACTTCCTTATCCCTGTCCCTTCCTCAGTGTAAATGGTCCTGTGCAATGCTCAGAATGGTATGGAACCAATCTGGGTATTCACAGCAGGAAGTACACCCAGGCTATAAAACAAGAGCCACCATCATCAGTGTGACCACAGAAGGTCTTTTGTCCCACAACCACTGAAGTTTGAGATGACTTCATCAAGTCCCATAACTCTTATCTCCAAATATCCTTAAAACCTTGTGTCTCATGTTCCTTCTAATGAGAACCAGCTTGTTGGATCATTCAGACATTTTGTACCTGGATTATTCTTAGCTTGTGTGTGTAAGAGTGAACAAAACAGACACACACACACACACACACACACACACACACACACACACACACACACAGACAAAACAAAAAACCCCATGAGAACTTGAACTCCACTAGAGCAAATATGGCAATAAATATAAGTTATATAGTACATTAAGTGTTATATGCTAAAAAGAAAATACAAGTATGAAAGGAAGTAAGATGGTCAGGGTAGGCCTTATTAAAGTATAAACTGAGAGATACTTGACAGAGGCAAGGAGGTAAGCCATGCAGTTATCTGAAAAAGCATGTTGCAGGCAGAAAAGCACACCCAGTACAAAGGACCTAAATACAGAAGTGTGCCAAAATGCTCATGGACTATTAGGAAATCAATGTGGTTAGAGCAGGGTAAAAGAAGGGGAGGGAGAGAGATGAAGATGGGGGAACGGGGGAGGAAATGGTAGGATGATTATGTAGGACCCTGCAGACAACTGTAAGGACCTGAATTTTATTCTGAGTATTATAGCAAGCATTTCAGTGACATGTGAGCAGAGAAATGGCATGATTTGACAGATTTTTTTAAAAAACTGCTCTGGCTACTGCACTCACAACAGACTACATACAGCACAGCAAGGTGGAAGCAGGAGCTCTACTATTAGGAGGCTACTGCGGTGATCCAGGTGAGAAATAATGACATCATGTGGGTGATGAGACATGGTAAGACTGTAGATGTATGATATTTTAAAGGTACAGTTAATCAGATTTTTCTGATACATAGGATATGGGATGTGAGAAGAGAATAAAAAGTGTATTTAAGGCTTGGACTGACAAAATGGGAGAACAGATATGGCATTAACTCAATGAGAAACTGATGGAGCAGGTTTTGGGGGAAGGACTAGGAGTCCAGTTTTTGACATAACTGAAATGAACCAAGCTTTTGGATATTTAAGTTTGCAGTTCAAAGAAAAGATATGAGCTGGAGTTTCTGTTCTACCTCAAATAAATACTGCATTCCAGGCTTGCAGAACCCTATACAAGTTTCTAATGTGTTCACCAAGTAGTCTTTGTGCCTGCATATTTCTTTGTTTAACTAGAGTGTTCTTACTCCTTTCTTTCACTTGGTCAAAAACTCTCAGTCTTCAAGACTTATGTTAGTGATCATCTGTTTCATGAAACTTGTATGGTTATCATCTATTTTATGAAACTCAGATAATTATTATCTTCTGAATCACCCTGTTTCTATAAGTCACTTGAGTAACTTAAATATATAATGGCTGGTCTTTTAGGATACTCCAAAATCTAAACAATTTTAATTTCTTTTTTGTTAAGAAAAAAGGCAGCCATTTCATAAACATGGGTGACCTGCTGGCTCATCATCAGAAATCTTTAGAAACCTTTAAAGAAAATTAAGATCAGAGGAAAAAAACCTTGGCAAGCAGTGCAGTAACCAGATTTTGCATTTTCCAATTTCAGTAGTTATTTGAAGACAAATTTTCAAAAACACTTGTATTGCATAATAGACCCCACAGGATAAACACAAAGAGAGAAAATCTGTCTAAGTCCCAAAGTTATTTTCTATTATAATTTTTTTCATTTTAATTATCATACTTTTACTTGCCCTGGGAAGGTATTTAAATGAGAGGAATTATTGGACAAGAAAATCAGTCTCTTTGTTTCATTCCCAAGAGACAAACTCTAATCTAGTTGAGAAAAGGAGAAAAATTAAAAAGATGATGTGCAATTTAAAGAAGATCCAGCTCAACCAGCCTCTTTTACAATTGAGCACACTGGAACCCAGAGAGGCTGCCACAACTGTTGGAACAGGTGCACTCAACTACCAGTTCTGTGTAGCTACAATCTGCTCAAATGTAAGCTCCAGGAGGCCAGATATATTTGTTTCTTTCGTTTCACCTAGTAAGTGCTGAGACAAACAAATTTATAATTCTGATCTACATGGGACTGAAATATAGTCAAATATAAATCATAATACATTTATTTAGGGTTTAAAAATTGCTGACTCTTTGAAAGTCATAAAATTTAGCGTATCAAGAATTTGCAATCATCACCTTTTTTTAAAAGATTTTTGTTTATTTATTTTTAGAGAGAGGGGAAAGCAGGAGAAAGAGAGGGACAGAAACATCGATGTGTGAGACGTACATTAATTGGTTGCCCCCACTGAGGACCTAGCCTGCAATTCCCACTGGGAATTGAACTAGCAACCTTTCAGCTCACAGGCTGGCACCCACTGAACCACACCAGCCAAGACTGCAATCATCATTGTTAAATATTAATTACAAAACATTTGCCCTGTTCGAAAGTGGGAAGGGTGGGCCGTGAAGCAAAATCTTAAAGTATTATGTTTATAAAAAAATTTTCTGCAAATTCTGATTTCTGAATCAAAATTCTCTTGATTCTGCAAATCAAGAGGAAAAGATATTCTAGTAATATATTTGCTTTACATAATATAGTATTTTAGATATTCATTATGGGAAAATTATAACCTTTGAAAATAAAATAATACAAAATTATTATTATTATATATCTTTAAAGAATCAAGATTTATAAGGATGCCTGGCCAGGTGGCTCAGTTGGTTAGAGCATCATCCTATACACCATGGTTTCCATCCCTGGTCAGGCTAGAGTACAGGAAGCAACTGGTTGATGTTTTCCTTTTTCTCTGTAAAATCAATAAACATATCCTTGGGTGAGAACTAAAAAAAAAAAAAAAATCAAAGATTTACTAGGACAATTATAAAAAAGTTTAAAATGTTTGATTCCAGGTTATATTAAGACAGTAGCCTAAAAAAAACCAAATAAACAGTCCAGGTTCTTAAAAGGTCCTTTGCCAAAAAAACCCTCTTACTTGGGCTTTTTAAAAATTGAAGTATAATTAACATGTAATGCTATATTTTTAGATATACAACATGATTTAGTTGATAATCATATATACTGCAAAATGTTCACCACAGTAAGTGTAATTAAATTAGTCACCATACATAGTTACAAACAATTTTCTTAAGAGAATTTCTAAGCTCAACTCTCTCAACAACTTTCAAGTATATAATAAAGTATTAATATAACTGTAGTCAACCTGCTATACACTACATCTCTATGACTTATTTAAATGTTTTATAATTGGAAGTTCATTTTTAATTGGTTTTAAGACCCACAGCCTTTGAAGCAAACACTTTCAACAATAACCACAGTTGCAGTCAACAGGCAGTCAAACATATATATGTCAATCCCCAAAAGGAAACATCAGGTATTATTTTAAAGTTAAAAATCACTGACCTTTTTAACCTCATGTAGTTTTCACTTGCAGCTGGTCGGCATTCTGCTCTTTGTACCACTATTCCTTCCAATGAAAGCTTATCTTAAATGGAAAGAAAAAAATTTCACAAATGTATTCAGAATTAACATTTATCATTTTCAAGATTCTATGCTAACACATTAACCACACTAATAATGATCACAATAAAATTTAACAATAAAAACCAAGTGAAAAAAAAATATATATATAGTATTTTTCTCAATTATAGTTTACATTCAATATTATTCTGTATTAGTTTCAGATGTACAGAACAGTGGTTAGACAATCACATATTTTATAGATTGGTCCCCTTGATAGTTCAAATAGCCAACTGGCCCCATACATATGTTACTATGATATTACTGACTATACTCCCTATGCTGTAATTTATATCTCTGTGACTACGACCAACTTATATTTCTTAATCCCTTCACATTTTTTACCCAATGCCCTGATCCCCTTTCCTTCTGTCAGTCTGTTCTCTGTATATATGAGTGTTTCTATGTTATTTTATTTTTTTCAAAAGAAACATTTCTAAGTTTAGAGTAGAATCACTGGTCAGAGTAGAGGAAAACCTTATTCTTGGCTAGCAAAAAAACTGGGCTCCTGTCCGGTTTGTTTACTGGGCTGCTGCAGCCCCTTGCCAATAAGTTTTCATACACTTAGCTCTTTCTAAAGAGGTTGGCTTAAAATAGCACAAAGTCAAATGGAAAAATATTGAATATATACATGCATGAGTATACATACATGTATCTATAAATAAAATTCTAGAATACACTGTGAACAGAACAGCCAGCCCAGAAAATATTGTGAAACTGGGCAGGACCACTGTCTAGGTTACTCTGTGACCAGTTCTGCTTGCCACCTGCTCTGCCTTCTCCTTTCAGCAGAATTATTAATTTGGCTATGTCCAAGCTACAGCTTTAACTGCTATGAATAATTGTCCAAAAAGAAGAACAATTTCCTCTACCATTAGAAATAATTTTCAGAGTTCCAGCCTAGATAGAGGCATATGTAGATATGCCTCACCTCCTTGCACAACCAAAAGAAGGGAACAACCAAGTTAAAAAACAATAAACCACCAGAACTGCCAGAAAATCTAGCTGTATGGCAGTCTGACAACCAAGGAGTTAGAGAAGAACCATACATCCAGATTGGTGCACCGAGAGAAAGAAATATGGCCCAAGTGAAAGAACACAACAAAACTCCAGAAAAACAACTAGTGTTAAGGAGATAGCTAACCTATCAGATGCAGAGTTGAAAACACTGGTAATCAGGATGCTCACAGAAATGCTGAGTATGGCTGCAAAATAAAAGAAGTGCTAAGTGAAGTAACACAAATATGCAGGGAAACAACAGTGAGGGAAGAAAATGGGGACACGAATCAACAATATGGAACAAAAGGAAGAAATAAACATTCAATTGGAACACAATGAAGAAACAAGAATTTAAAGAATGAGGAGAGGCTCAAGAACCTCTGAAACAGCTTTAAACATGCCAATGTCCAAATCATAGGGGTGCCAAAAGGAAAAGAGGGAAGACCAAGAAATTAAAAACTTATTTGAAAAAATAGTGAAAGACAATTTCCCCAATCTGGTGAAAGAATAGACAAGTCCTGGAAGCCTTATTACAGTCTGGAAATGGATGACTACAGTTAGGATAGCTATGGATCTATCATATTTCTGTAAGAATTCACTCAGGTTTTGAGAAGAGAGTCAGGAAATGCTTTGGCTAATCAGCAATGCACTTATGTTTCATCTCTCTAGGGCGAATGACTTCATGCATTCTCCCAACATTAACTAAATGCCTACTATATGAAGGGCACCATCTAGGCATTATGGAATCAAAGACGATTAAAATATAGTTCTGTATTTCAAGAAGCATTGCAGTTCACTAGAGGAAAGAGATAAACTGACTGAACTGTAGAGAGCACATAGAACAACACCTTCATGATTTATACTAAAAAATCTTTCATAGGGTGAGCTTTCTTAATTTTGTCTTCACAATCTAGGGACTCACTATTGTAGCCTCTAACTAGTAAATATGAACACACCATGGAATTCAATGGTTCAAGGACCTGTTAGGGCAACATAAGCAACAACTCTTAAGAACTGTCAGATGATATCAGGACTAATAAGGAGAAGGATGCCTACCTTATACCAAAATATGCCAGGCAGAAAACAATAAGCCCCTAATTATTTTATATTAAATTTAAACATCTAAAAATAATATCTTAATGAATTGAATGTGATTTAAATTAAAATCTGACTTTTCTTAGAACAAAAACAAATCTTTTTTTGGAAGTGTTCAAATTAAAACTTTTTTTCTTTTTTTAATTTATTTTTCAATTACAGTTTATACTCAATATTATGTTTTTTCAGTTTCAGTTGTACAGCACAGTGATCAGACAATAACATACTTTAAAAAGTGATCCCCTGGATATTTGAAATATGTACCTGGCAACAAAGTTATTTCAATATTATCGACTGTATTTTCTATGCTGTACTTTACATTCCCATGACTATTTTCTAACTACCAGTTCGTATTTCTTTTCTTTTAATTTTTAAAATTATTTTATTTTATTGATTATGCCATTACAGCTGTTCTATTCCCCCCTTCATTCCCCTCCACCCTGCACCCCCCTTCCCCACCATTCCCCCCTTTAGTTTAAGACCACGTGTCTCAAGTTCTTTTTTAAATTTTAGGTTTTTTTCAACACTTTCCCCCCACCCCCCCGCCCCCCCCCCCCCCCCCCCCTTATTTTTCAAACCTCCCCCCAATTTCCTCCCCCCCGGCGATATGTCAGGTTTATTAAAGAGAACTCCCGGGCTAGATTCTATATTTCCCATAGTATTCTTGCCCTACCCCCTATCTTCTACCTACCATCTATACTACTTATTTTCTGTACCTTCTCCCTCTTTCTCCTCCTCACACTCCCCTGTTGTTAACCCTCCATGTGATTGTCATTTCTATGGTTCTGCTCCTGATCTAGCTGTCTTCTTAGTTTATTTTTGTTTCAGGTATGGTTGTTAATAACTGTGAGTTTGCTGTCCTTTCACTGTTCCTATTTTTTATCTTCATTTTCTTAGATAAGTCCCTTTAACATTTCATATAATAAAGGCTTGGTGATGATGAACTCCTTGAATTTGATCTTATCTGAGAAGCACTTTATCTGTCCTTCCATTCTAAATGAAAGCTTTGCTGGATAGAGTAATCTTGGATGTAGGTCCTTGCCTTTCATGACTTGGAATACTTCTTTCCAGCCCCTTCTTGCCTGTAAGGTCCCTTTTGAGAAATCTGCTGACAGTCTGATGAGAAATCCTTTGTAAGTGACTGTCCCCTTATCTCTTGCTGCTTCTAGGATTCTCTCCTTCATGTTAATCTTGGCTAATATAATTACGATGTGCCTTGGTGTGTTCCTCCTTGGGTCCAACTTCTTTGGGACTCTCTGAGCTTCCTGGACTTCCTGGAAGTCTATTTCCTTTGCCAGATTGGGGAAGTTCTCTTTTATTATTTGTTCAAGTAAGTTTTTTACTTGCTCTTTCTCTTTCCCTTCTGATACCCCTATAATTCAGATGTGGAGCGTTTAAAGATGTCCTGAAGGTTCCTAAGCCTCTCCTCATTTTTTTGAATTCTTGTTTCTCCATCCTTTTCTGTTTAGTGGTTTCTTTCTTCCTTCTGTTCCACTCCCTTGATTTGAGTCCCAGTTTCCTTCCCATTACTATTGGTTTCCTGTGCATTTCCCTTCATTTCAATTAGTTTAGCCTTCATATGTTCCTCTAACTTGTGACTAAAATCACCCATTTCTGTGAGCATCCTGATCACCAGTGTTTTGAACTGTGCATCTGAAAGTTTGGCTATTTCTTGGACACTTAGAGTTATTGGCTCTGGGGCTTTGCGTTCTCCTTGAGCTATGTTTTGGTTTGCTGGCACCTGTTATATATGAGGAGCGGAGCCTTAGGTGTTCACTAGGGCGGGGCCACCCAGGTTGCTGGGTTGTGATGCTGTATGTGGGGGCAGGGTCAAAGAGGGACAATGGCAGTCCCCTCTGCTGCTTCCCGCTGCTGGAGCCTGAGAGGTCTGTCTCACTGCTCGCTCTTTCACTGGTTTATCTGCATGCAAATGTGTGATTGCGGTCAGCCTGCCACCTTGCGGCCTCAGTGGGTCTGCCCGTTGCTACTCACACCTGGGATCCGCCCACGGCTGCCTGCGCACCTGGGTCTGGGGATCTTTCCTGCCTGACCCTGCTTCGCCAGTCGCTGGCTCCGCCCCTCTTACCGGTCCGGCTGAAGGGGTCATTGTTATCGGACTTCTGTATAGTTCAATTTTCTGTGTTTTGGCTGTGTTTTTTTGTTACTAAAACTTTGTTGTTTTAGTCTTTAAACTTGGTTGTTTGAGAAGGCATAATTTCCACCTATGCCTCCATCTTGGCAGAAGTCACAAAAACAAATCTTCAAGTTTGCTTCTCACTGAAGCTCAAAGTTCTATTAAGAAAACTGTCTCACTAGCAAGATTTGGAGAAATTTCAATGTACTCTGTAAAGTATCGTTAATCCATGAGAAAAATTCATTATTAAAATATATATATTAATCTTTTTTTAAAAAGCAAAATACCAGTAGAATACTGTCCCTGAAAAAATTTAACTTATACAATAGATCCATGTGTTTATTAATGTTGAATAGTAAAAGACGTACCTTTTAATAGCACCTGTGAGTATTCCTCGCTTATCTAGTAGTATCTACTCCATGTGAACAGGCTAATTTAACTTTCAGTTAAAGGTTTCTGCTGTCAACATTCTCCATATAACACCTGAATGCATGAGTCCAAAGCCTGTGGCCCATTTCAACATGGCCACCACTCTCATCATTATTCTTCAATCATGGTCACTCACAAAAAGTAATAAAATTCACTTTTCAGATGATAGTTTTCTGACCACCATATCCTAGTTTCAAACCTAAAAATAGCTTTTTAAAATCTAAAATATCTGTTAAGTGCTTCTCAAGTGAAAGGAAAAGTCCACCAACTGACTGCTTTTAATGTCACATCTCTGTTCACTTGTCCTT